TATAAGACAGCCTTCTTAATACTATTAGTAGAGTAGTGTGTGAGCTAGATAAGAGTATAAAGACTCTAAATAAGGCTATTATAAGTGTTATAGGCGGTTTTAAGAATTAACTTAGTAATATATATAAGGTTATTATTACCTAGACTAGTCTTACCTATACACTATCCTATAAGCTACTTAATAGTAAAATATATAAAATATAGGACATTATTAAATATATAAACACCTCTTTCTAGAACCTACTATGAACTTTAGAAATCAGCCTCACTAAAGTAATAAAAAATACTACTACCATCGTGTATAATAACACAATAAAGTCTAAGATAGACTAAAGAACCTATATAAGGAATTATATAATAGGATTTAGGACATTTAGCTTAAGATGTAGGTAGGGCATTTTAATAGCGCCGTACGTCTAATAAATAAGCTATTAAACTACTATATAAGTATAATTATTAAATTATAATAGATTAATAACTTACCTATCTATACTCTTCTAAAGACTTATACTAGCCTATAGGATCTTTAAGGTAAGCACTATACAGATTATAGAAGATAGTAGAGAGTAAAAGGTTAGTTACAACTATAATTAAGTTCCTAATTATTAGCGTCTATAAGAAACATTAATAATATTCTTAAACGCTTATAACTAAATATAAACGGCCTATATATAAAAAAACACTAGCAGCTTAAAGTATACTTAAGTCTACGAAAGTAGTAATACCACTAGCTGATTCTTTTAATTAATAACCCTATTTAACTCTTAGTAGCTTATAAGAATGCATACTAAGGGATATTTTAGCTTAATCATGAGGACACTTTGGCCCCGAAGCATGCAGTTTTTAATTTAATTTAATTTAATTATTTACGTCTGTCCGCGCCCTAGAGTAGGCTTTAGGACGTGCTATTAAGCCTTCTACGGATAAATGTACAGTCGCACCCGCTAAGTGGGCCCCCAACCGAACGCGCTCCGCGCCCATGTTCTCACTAGTTGCCCCTGGAATACTCTCCCTGTCGCCATCCTCTAACTGTAGTAGTTTCGCGCCTAATGGCATATATCTGTCTTAATCGATACCCGTCAGTGGGATCACGATGATGTTAGCGTTCTGCGCCCGCGGCTAGCACCGCGGGCGCGTCGCGCTAATAACTGTTGTCTCCTAGTCTTTCTATGGGGACCAGCGTGAGCCCTTCTGTTAGTGGCGTATATCGCCTAAAATAAAGGAAATATAAGAAATGTTTAATAAGTAGTAATCACTACTTAGGCTAGACTATATATAAAGCGCGCTAGGCTTATACGCCCTACTAGATGCTATATACGCTTATTAATCTTCGAATAGTAGAAGTTAGTAATACGTACGTACACTTTATAGGATCTACTGAGGAATTTCCCTATCGTCGTCTCTAGGTCGGGTCCTAGCCGAACCTGGAGATGGCTAGGGATTTTCCTACAGTAGAAAAGATGGGTGGGCGACTTCTAGCGCCCGTAAGGGCACTCTAGCGTCGCCTGTCTAGGGTGGAATCTCTCATGGTATTCCGTAAAGTCGCCGTGTTATGATCGTGCTGTCAGAAGATAGCCGAGCGCGCGGCGGGGAAGACTGAGTACCGGAAGTTTTTTCAGCTCGGCACTAAGTCCGAACTTCTGATATTCCGTTCTCCCAACCGTTGCCCACCGAGCTCGGTGATCGATTGTTATCTGCTTCTTCATCTGCCTTTTCCTCCCCGAAGCATGCAGGGGCCTGTATTCAGAACCCCAGAGTGCAAACGCGCTGGTTTCCCTCCCCCACCCCAGCCTTGGCAAGGTTTTTTCAATCGCCCTGTCCCACCCCGCAGTGGAGGCCATGCCACGGCGCCCCTGCTGTTGCGCTCTGCAGCGTGGCGAAAATCATCATCTGCCCTTTTCTACAGTGACATCATCCCTGATTCTCCCTCTGAAGCGCAAGCAGATCTCCCCTGCTGGCGGTGGGATTTGACAGCCTTTCAGATATTCTCGTATAGATTGAGGGACGACGCGGGCAGTGCCTGATTGACTTGCCGGGAACAGCAGCAGCCGAGACAACGGTCTAGACGATGTCTGACAGTCAACGATTGTTCTAGGAGTTCCGTGGTGGAACAAGGTGGGACACGCTTTCAGCTCAACATCTCGATCACTGTCCACCAACCACCACCTGCAGTCCCACTCCCCATAGCACATTTCAGGTCGTTTTTTTTGCACCTCCTTACTGAACTTTTGAAGTACTGTATAACTATACTCCCGCGTATCCAACATAGTATGGAGGAGTACGAAAGTGTTTGAAAGTAGAGGGTTGCACCTACCCCCAAGGAGGCTGCACCTACCCCTAAGTGGGGCCTTGACCAACCTGTAAGTAAGGGGTTCCGCCCGCCTCCAAGAGGAGGTCGCACCTACCTTCAGGCAGCAGGTTGCATCTACCCCTGAAGAGAAGCTGCATACCTGCCTTCATACGAGGGCGCATAAAAGCAGGAGGCGTGCAGTACGCTTTCGTATGAAAGTAGGAGGCTTGCGATACGCTTTTCCCTCAGTGTACATTTACGAGGTTCACCCTGCTGAAATGTCTACTATGCCTGAGCGTGTTGCAAAGTTCAGTGAGGCAATCGCCCCATCCGATGCAACGCTTGAGATCTGATCTGGCCATTTGTGGTGGCTCGAGCCAGCTGTTCGAACCATAGTTCAAAGAGTGCTGGAGCAACGCCAAACGCACACATGCTCCGAATGCGTATGAGAATATGAGGTGTGCTTCCATAAGAAAGCGCATAGAAACCGGAGGTGGTGCCTTTATAAAGTGTGGGTTTGACCAGCGAAAATGTTCTCTCGACGTTGGCTGGCCACTGGCTCTACTGGACAGGGGAATAGGTAGCTTTATTGAAGGTTTCCACCAGTCAGTAAGCCTGCTAGTTCTAGTCCACGTGTGGCTGGTCAACTGGCTCTTTACGGAGGCACACCATAGGCTGGCCAACTGGCTCTATAGTGTTGGATACGCGGGAGTATAGTTAAATTAGGACAGGGTCTGTGTAGCAATTATTGAGCTAGAATTGATGATTGTATTGCTTGTTCTTTTTCTTGTGCTTCGTCTTGAGCGGGGGAGTCTACGCGCTCAATCACTGTAGCGGGGTATCTCTTTAACCGGCTTCCTTGATATCCGCATATTTTAGCGTCAAATCATCGTGCAGCTTGTAGCCAATCTAACATATAGCAGGAGGTGTGCGATACGCTTTCGTGTGAAAGTAGGAGGCGTGTAGTACGCTTTCGTATGATAGGAGGAGGTGTGCGATACGCTTTGCGTATAAGGAAATACGCTCACCCCCCTTCTGCTGGTCGAACACCCGCTCGCCCTCACGGGCACATCGTTGTGCCCAGCTCAACCAGCCCAGCGTTGTGCCTGGCACAACGCCCACTCCCTTTTCAGGCTGGTCAGGGCCTCGTGCATCGACAATAATGATACTTGTGTGCGGTTATACGTTGGCCAGGGGAACATCTTTCCAAAATTTTGTAATTTCTTTAATCTTCGACTGGTTATTTTTCTCTCAAAAGAAGATCCTTTTTTTTTCAGAGCTGTCTTCGCCCGTACACCTTCTCGTTGTCTGCACCGCCAGCCGACCCCACGATGATAACACTCATCCGTAATTACACTCGCTTACAGCGGCTTTCGCCGCGACACGGTGATGGCGAGTTTCGTTCGATATTTGCTTAATGTTTACGGAAAGCACTTGTCGAAGTCATCGGGTCCCATCTCATCATGAACACGGGCAGCGCTTGGACTCAGCAAGCGGGAGTAAATGAGCAAGTGAAGAGGATGTGTATGAAAGGTGAAAAATCCCCAGTCGAGCGCGTAAGCTGATGTGCTGGTTACTGCCTCTTACGTCCTGAGTATTCTATACGCATGTTGACACCGACTCCCACTTGTGACGAGCGGAAAAAGAAGTGGCAGGCGTGAAGGCCGGCACGGGTACTGGTAGCGGTCGAGGCAGTGGTAGAGGTAGTAGTAGAGGTGGTAGTAGAGGTGGTAGTAGAGGTAGTGGTAGAGGTAGTGGTAGATGTAGAGTATGCGAGCAGAGCATAGCAACCGCTGTGTTCTTTTCGTATACAGCGGTTGCTATGCTCTGCTCGCATACAGCGGTCGCATACAGCGGTCGCTGTGTTCGCTTTTCTCACGAAGAACGTGCGAGCCAGAAAAAATAGCGAATCTGGAATCAGATGAACTAGCCTGCCAAAACCAAGGTTCGGATGAATTTTCTGCCAAAGTAAATGCTCCGCCGGAAGAAGTGCTCTTTTAAAATAAATCCTGTATTGAAAAAGTGCTCAAGGGCTGAGTTCATATTTTGGCCAACGTAACCCATCTACTTGGAGTCATGGATAGTAAGTCGTTCTAGAGGGAATCCGCGAAAACCGTGATTTTGTTAGAGGTGGTATATAACGCCTTCTGTCAACTGCCATTTACGCCTGTATCTTGCACGGGAACAGCGATGAACCAAGTACAGTACTGCAAGTGACAGTGTATGCAATACAATATCACAACGACGAAACGCTATAAAGGTCTCTGAATTATACTGAGTCACAGCATCAACCTCCGCCTAGACACGCAATACTAAATCGGGCGCTTTTTGGTCTTTTTGGTTTTCGGCGTCTTCACCTTCTCCACTAGTGTGACTTGAGAACCCCACGATCCACGGCTGTAGCTCGTCGGTACTCGTTGCAGCTCCACGTCCCCCGCGGTAATTTGAAATGGCCTCCGTAGGCGGAGGTCAAAATTCCACCTCCACAAACCGGATGAAACGTTCGGGGGTTGTGTTCTGCAGCGCCATAGTGCGCATGTCCCTCATGAAAGATGCATCCCCACATGCTACGGCTCTGTCAGACAAGGTGAACCAAGAGCATTATACGACACGTACCTAAAAGAACACTTTCACCGGGATGACGTGCCTCCTGGCGCAGCTCTTTTGCGAAGGAAGCCATGTCAAAATCATGCCGGACTTTCCAGTAGTCGTTAACTCGGTACGGTGTCTTTTTGCCCGCCGAAAACAGGTTCCTTGGAGTCACGTAGGCGTGCCGCTGCCCCTCGAGCCCTGTCGTCGTGTGCTCTCCTCTCAGCAAGATGACGGGCGAAGAGCAAAACACCGACGATCCCCATGCCCTTCGCGGCTAGAACCACCGCCTCATAGTGCAAGTCCCTGCCGTATGGGCCGTCGAGCCTCAGAAACTGGCCCTTGCGTACAGTGTTCAGCGACCTTGCGTGGTGTCCCGTGTGTGAGGTCAGAAAACTAAGCTCAGGAGCGACGCCGGATGTTACGTGGTCCGCGTCTGCGCAGAATGGCATCATAGGGTAGCAGTACACGGCACCTGTTCTGACTGATAAACAGTGGTGCAAATGCTGTAGGACTGGTAAAGTCGGCCTCTGTCCCTACCTCGACCAGTAAACAGTGATGCAAATGGTGCAGGACTGGTAAAGTTCGGCCTCTTTTCAGCACTCTGTCCCTATCTCGACTAGTAAACAGTGGTGCAAAGGCTGTTGGACTAGTAAAGTCAACCTCTTTTCAGTACACGGTACCTGTTCTGACTGGTAAACAGTGATGTATATGGTACAGGACTGGTAAAGTCGGCCTCTTTGCAGTATACGGTCCCTGTCTTGACTGGTAAACAGTGGTGCAAATGCTGGTCTCCGTCTTAACTAGTAAACGGTGATGCAAATACTGTAGGACCAGTAAAGTCGGCCTCTTTGTAGTACACGGTACCTGTTCTGACTAGTAAACAGTGATGCAAATGCTGTAGGACTAGTAAAGTTGGCCTCTTTTCAGCAGGCGGTCTCTGTCTTGACTGGTAAACACTAGACGCCTAACCGGTTAGCTCTCCACCGTGATTAATAGAAGAAAAGACAGGAGATTCTAGAGGGCGCTTAGTGGCCCGACAAAGGCTAATGACTAGGCTCGTTAGCCTCTATAGAAACTCTTGCTTGAACTTAATCCCTAACAAAAGTTCGTCCGTCTCTAAGCGTAGTAGAGCCGTGACCTAACTAGTTAGGTGTAACGGTGGCTCTTCTCTAATCCACAGTAAATCTGTTTCTTAGGAAGTGAGTTAGGTTGAATGCACCACAGGTGTAGATAAGTAGTATCGTAGCTTAAGTCACGTTTAGGAGATTACTCCTAATAGTAGAACTATTACTTAGATTAATTAGTAGAGATCTAGCTGTCTATCTAGGAAATCCCCTTCCTTATATATCCCTCTATCCCCTACTGTACTCTTAGATTATACTAATCCTATCTGATCCTCACTTAGGCTAGATTAGACTGAGCCTGTCCGATGAGTCCACTTAGATTAGTTTAATCCCTCTTAATCTAATCACGTGATCTTATGTCCTTATACCTTCATACCCTAGGGAGCCTCATAGCTCCCTTAGGTGTCATAGGCTTCCCTGCGGCTGCATAACGGGCCGCTCCTTCTGTCTTCCTATTCGTTTATCATATTATTCCCCTCCTCCTTAAGTCTTATCCTTAAGGCTTTAGAGGTCCCCTCTATGAGTTTTCCTTCTTACATCCTTCGTTCCTTAGTATGCCTTCTAACCGTATTTCTAAATAGTAGTCTCGTCTAAATTAAAAGGTCGATCGTGAGTGTCTTTCTAAATTTATTACTGCCTTTAGTTTTATTATACTGTCTTATAATTCTTACTATTAGCTTAGTCACGAGTGTATTATTATTAAAGGAAAGGATCACTATAGTGAGTGCACCCTATGGGGTTATTCTAACTGTAACCCGGGTGGTACCTCTTCTGATGCTTACGTACGAGTCCTTTAGGAGAAGGATCGTCTTAATAAGGAGTGTGCCTCCACTAAGGAAGATTTAGAGTGCGCTATGGCTCATCTTTAGAGAGTTCGTCGTTAGGAGAAATTCCTTTATTAAAAGGCTGTGGAGATAGTGGCTAGAGGCGTTAAGAGCCTTAACGAACTAGAAGCGTAAGAGCGTTCTAAGCTAGAGGCTTGTATAGCTAACTAATCTCCTAAATTTCTTATGGATTTAGGTCTTCTGGTTTTATCTAACTTCTTATTTCCGTCTAGTAGAATAGTTATAATAAGTTCTAGTAGTTTTTAAGGTTCCCTATTAGTTCCTACGTGTTCTTAGAGTTTAGGTATCC